CCAGATCGAACGAGCCAATAACTCGAACGCTTTCGGTCTGTTTTTTGAGCAAGAATCGCAGCGTTACCTTACCTTCACCATGATACAGACTCCAAGTTCTTATGGCAGAGCACGAGGAGATTTTTCATCAATATGATGATGAGAATAGAAACCAGAAGCACGACCGGAGTCTTCGTGGTCCAAGATAAGAAAACCATCAATAAGAGTAACGTAAGCATGAGACTTTTTGGTAGTACCGGTGAACCAGATGGCCGCGGCGATAGAATCTGGGACGGAGGACTCGTAGTATCTCTCTAGATCTGGCAAAAGCGAAAGACCCCCTAACGTAATTCGAATGGAGGCTGACTGCTGAGCCCACTCTGGCCTCGAAGGGCAAGCCCCCGTGGTTGCGAGCTGGAGCTGCCATTGCTTATGGCTAGAGCAATGGGAGGGGGCCCCGCAGAGAGAACAGTAAGGATAACGAGCGCTCCGCCCGCCAAGCGGGCGGCAGGAGCAGCAGGCAAGTGCTTGGTAGGCTAACAGCCCGGTGAACCGGGAAGAGCACTCGACGAAAGGAGGACACACTAAGCAAGTACGATAAATTGGCCCTGCTCCGCTTTCTTAAAAGCAAGGTGACCCCTGTTAAGGAGGTCAAACCAAGGACCTATGGAAGTCGGGGCTCGTCCCTGGTCAATATTGGATCAAACAATAGGAGGCCGTAGCGCTGACCTCTTTTTTGATTGATTCAATACAAGAGGGGAAAAGATCGTAAAGTTCCCTACCGAGACAACAGAAACTATCAACGGATCTTCTGCGCGCTGGGCATACTTCTTCCGTGCGTCTTTCTCGTGGCGGAAACAGAACAACAGGGAAAGACCCGGCCGACCTGCCCAGGTCGCCTTGGCGAGCTTTATTTAAGAGAGACTGGGGAGTAAAAAGACTTCCGTTTCCGTTCTTGGTTTGCTCTTCGCCTCTCGCTCTTTTTCGTAGTTGGGAAGAGGGAAGGAGTCTAAATCAATGGACATTAATGAACCATCATTGATGGACGTTGCACATGACACGATCAATTCGACTCAAGGTCCTTCGCTAATAGAAGTAGCTTACTCTCCTAGTAGCGAAGGAAAAGGGCAGGGCTCTTTTTTCGTAGTAATAGTGGGCGGGTCTCATGAGATCTATGCCGGCCGCAAAAATCAAACGAAGGTCGAAGGACCATTCGATATGATTAAGGGGCATAGCGGCGCCCTCGACTGGCGCCATTCCCCGACCTAGCAGCAGACGGGCGGGCCGTGCCTGAATTCAGACCAGACTTTTCTTTGTTTGAGCTGTTCCCACGCACGCAGAACGGAAGATCTCAGTTGTCCTGGACTGGACAAGTACGTAGGGCCCCCGTTGAACAGAGTTAGGTTATTACCTGCCTCTACGGAATAAGTTTACTTTGTACCGTCCGGAGGTCATATAGATCGGAACCCGGAGCGATAAGAACGAAAGCCCTACCCACAGCTACAACTACTGGGACTTCAAAAGGCTTAGATTTTAAGGTAATTCCTATTTGCTTACTTGATAGAGTAAGGGCGCTACTGAAAGCTTTTTTAGGTCGTGTAAGAGGTGTAAGCCTCGAAAGCCTTTGGTATTTCGGTAGAGCGAGCAGCCCTTAAACCAAAAAATTTTTATAGTACCTTCTCCTATTTCTTCATTTCATTCTTTATTTGGCCCGCTTCAAACAAAATGAGAAAAAGGGGGAGGCCTTTTGATTCGAAGTCACTACAAAAAAAAATTCAAAAAACTTTCGAAGGAAAGGCCTTCGCATTCCTAATCCGGTAGGGCCGGGCAGCTTTAGCTTGGCGAATCGCATCCCCGCGCAACGACATCGCTCTTTACCGTTCTCGCTCAGTCTTTGCAACGGCCGGGAAGGCAGTCGTAGAAGCGAAGCCTATCGCCCCGCCGACCATCAAATACGAGATTGGGCCCCTTCTCCAAAATTGGATGGAATGGCCCACCCCACCCAAGAGCGCTTATGTCATATGGGAACTCATGGCTGGAAACAATCCTTATGGTTTTGATATCCGGTAGGAATAATAAGAATCAAAGTCCAGGTTGGTTGGTGAGCCTAGTGATAGGAAACTATCTAGCTTGGTTCGGAGAGCACTTGTTGGGTTAAAGATTTTTTTTGCTAGATGTTATGGCCTAAATGCTGAACTATTGACTCTACTTGTTTGGATGGGTGTTCACCCCAAAGTGTTCCCGGACCGCATGCATACATCCGTAAGTAACTTAGTGCAACATGGAAAATTTCATTGAGAGGAATCAGCAAAGAAAATAAAAAAAGGTCCATTTTTGTGTATTTGAAAGATTGTCCTCGGGCTGAAGAGTGTCCATATGAGTTCGTTCAGGTGTCTACACAGGCCTGTGGTCTTCTTTTATATTCTGTCGTGAGTTAAGATTGCTCCACCTAAGTAGAACGAAAAGGAAGATTTGATCTATGTCGTTCTTTTAGTCAGTGGATGTTACAACGCTTCAATCAGGCTTTGAGACCTAAGAACTCAATTTCGTAAGCGAATATGCCAGATTGAATGTCAATGCTCTCATTTCCTGAAACCAACCCCCAAAGTAAAAAGCTGATATTAAAATAGCATATGTAAATAAGTTTAAGATCAAGTTCTTCTGTTCTCTCAGTTCCTTTCTTCCCCGAGACAATCTCTAAAATACAATCTCACATGTCGGTTGTTAACCAAGGGTATACCACTTGAGGGAGGGCAAAATCAATCAGATTCTGACCTGAAAAGAATGAATTTCTCTTGAACTTCTCCACTTCCCACCTAGAGCAGCTTCGCTCGCGGTGATCTAATTATTGGACTAGCTGAACTAAGACTAAGTAGATCTTCTAGAACGACTGCCGGACCATTCCATTCATTGTCTTCTTCTCAACCTCTCCTCTCCTCGGTGACTCTGAACTACCAAGCCAATCTCTAGTCGAAGGTAGTTTACTTGCTTACTCAAGAGAGTCAAAAAAGAGGGACTGCTACTCTTTTTTACCTACTTATCTAACCACCCTTTTTTGCAAGAGACGCTTTGTCCACTTCCTAGCCAAAGCCCAATTCACCACGTGAAAGTTCGTCACTATCAATAGCTCCTTACTTAGACCCTTCCTTCCCCATAGCCACTGGCTCACGACCTTTCGACTCTCGCTAAAGAAGAGAAATTAACCCTTAACTTCTCATACCGGATAGGCTCTTGGACTTGGAGCTCACAAATGCGCCGTTTGAGTGAACGAATGCGCTGTTATGAGCTAACGAGTTTTCCTTTTTTTCTGCTGAACTCGGAGAAGAGGAGGTAGCGGTTCGTGCTTGAGTTGAATCACTTGACTTTGGCCCTATCTTTCTATTTAGATAAGTAGTAGATCCCCTTACCAGGAAATGAACTAGGTAAAAGCTATAGGCAGCTACCTGGTAGGCAACTCGTCAGGAAGAGTCTATATCACCGATAGGCCAATTAGATGGAATTACAGAAAGCTGTATAAGTTAGAAGAAGGAGCAAAGGGTTGAAAGCGGACAGATGCCATCGAATCGGATGTCTTCCTTCAATCCGCTCTTAGAGTTCGAGAATCCAAGCGCAGTCAAGTCAGTACGTACCAATGCCTTCGGTCGGTAAGTCATTAAGGCCTGCTCTAGGTGACTTGGAAGTGCCTGAAGCTAAGAAGTAAGTCTACTTTTACTTCTTAGTCTAGGTCTTAGAAGCACAAGCGGGAGCCAGGGGGAAGGCCTTCAGGCCGCTGGTGGAACTCCCAGGGAATGGCTTTCTACTAACTAATAAGAATCTCTTTATAGAACCACACTAAACAAACTATCTATAACCTCAGGGGCTATAATAGGAGTAGCTAGTTTGCTTGTTCTGAAGAAGGAAAAACGTTGCCAGCTCTTCTTTCCGATCTTGGTTGCTTTCCGGTCCATTGTTCGATTCTATAGCTGATGTAGCTTAACTCCATCTCTCGTATCGGCTAATCAATGAGTGGGGGCATGAGAAGTAGGCTTAGCTGCCCTCAAAACAAACACTTTCTAGCCTCCTAAAGGAAGTCTTAAAAGATAAGATAAGGCTATGCGCACACAAGCTAACTTCAGGTATGCCGTTAGTTCTCAAGCGATTCCCTTGTTGACTTCGCATCTGAGGTGCGACCTTAGCCTTAGAGAGCTTGTTTTGGCAGCTACTCTCTTATAGTGAGGAGACAAGGTTACGCGCTGGGTAGCGAAGCGCATCTGTTTCGAGTACAGAGGCGACGAGGGGTGCTAACCCGGCCACCCAACCCAGCAGGTCAGGGGTGGGCCGGCCATAGGTTCGAATCCTGCCGCCTTTCTTGTGGATCATCCTGTGGTTACCGGATGATGGGAATAACAGAAATTTTTTAATGAGCACGAAATGTCAATATATGAATTGTTTCATTATTCGTTATTTCCGGGTCTTTTCATTGCATTCACTTACAACAAGAAACAACCACCAGCGTTTGGTGCAGCACCTGCATTTTGGTGTATTCTTCTTTCTTTCCTTGGTCTTTTGTTCTGTCATATTCCTAATAACTTATCCAATTACAACGTATTAACCGCTAATGCACCTTTCTTTTATCAAATCTCAGGGACATGGTCTAATCATGAAGGTAGTATTTTATTATGGTGTCGGATCCCAAGTTTTTATGGATTCCTTCTTTGTTACCGGGGTCGATCCCAAAGCCATAATGTCTCAAAACGAGGAGGCCGTAGAGAAAGTCTTCTTTTTTCCTTTGTCTTAAACTTCGTGAAGAACTCCATTCTATCTCTTCCTCGTTACGAACAAAAAAGTAGAGTTCTTCACGAACCCCAGTTGTACACTCTCTTCGTTCTACGAACTCTTGTTGATTCTGAACTTTGTTCGCGAAGGAACCGGACTTTTGACGGGCCAGTTATTTTTGACGCGCCGCTTTACCCTGAAAGGAAAATGAGCTTTGCTCTTCTGGGCGCTAGGCGCTCTCGTGGTTCGCGAGAAGGAAAAAGGACTCATCCTTTGTTGCATCTGGCACGAGATGATAAAGAGAGAGCTTCGTCTATCAATGAACAGCGGATTGACGGAGCTCTTGGCATTGCTTTCTTTTTCTTTCCTTTCCTATCAGCGAGTTCCGATCCTTTTGTTCGAAATTTCTTCGTTCGTACCGAACCGCTTGCAGAATCAAATCCTGTTCCACAAGATCCTATATCAGCTATACATCCTCCTTGCATTTATGCCGGAGACGTCGCCAGTGCTATGGGCTTTGGCTTATGTAGATCAAAAATGATGAATGGGATTGTGGCACTCCACTCGCCGCCAATGCGGAAGGATGTCGCCGAAAAGAATGGAACGCTGCTTTGCTCTGCTGGATGCGTCGGATCCCGTATAACAAGCGAGCTCTTTACCCTTAAATTCAAACATGTGGGCGCCAAATGCTATCCTGCTCTATTGTTGCGTAGCAAAAGAAGCCTGCTCATGCTGCTTCGACGGCGCTTTTTCGCCTTCTCTTCGCTCTGGACAAGAGCGCTAGTGGACACGGGGAGGGAGCGGGCGAAGCGTTTCTTTCGTAATGGAAAGACAAAGACCACTACTTTGCCTCTTTGTTGGACCGCCGGCGCGAACACAGTGGTCTCTGACCAGGACCAGGAACCAATTCGAATTTGGATCTTGACATGTCGGTGCTTTTTAACCGTAGGCATCTTGCCAGGAAGTTGGTGGGCTCATCATGAATTAGGTCGGGGTGGCTGGTGGTTTCGGGATCCCGTAGAAAATGCTTCTTTTATGCCTCGGGTATTAGCCACAGCTCGTATTCATTCAGTAATTTTACCCCTTCTTCATTCTTGGACTTTGCTTCTTAATATTGTGACTTTTCTATGCTGTGTCTTAGGAACCTTTTCAATACGGTCCGGATTGCTAGCTCCCGTTCATAGTTTTGCTACAGATGATACACGAGGAATCTTTTTATGGCGGTTCTTCCTTCTAATGACCGGCATATCTATGATTCTTTTCTCTCAGATGAAGCAGCAGGCATCGGTCCGTAGAACCTATAAAAAAGAGATGGTTGTAGCGCGAAGTACTCTTGTGCACTTACGTCACTTGGCTCGCGCGCAACCTCACCCCCTTATGTTATGGAAGAATTGAGCTTATTGCTGGGCTGGTTATTCAGAGCCAACAATTGGCTGCCAGATTTCGTCCCGCAACTAGAAGAAGATCACTTCGGGGATCACTGCGGCGTGACTGAATGTAGAGCAGTCCGCTCTTACAGCCTTTGATCAGTAGATTATTTAGAACTTCGGAAGATGGTCAAGGTAGCTTACTTCCAAGCCACTGCACCAGATGCGCATGGAGTCTACGTAGTCGGCCCAGAATTTTTCTTCGTTCTCCACTAGGCGAACCCGCCGGGTTAGCTCAACGTAAAGAAAGCTCATTAGGTCAAAACTAAGGGAGTACTTACTAATAGCGAAAGGCTAACATCTCTCCGCCTTTCTTAATAGAAGAGTAGCGAACATCTGATAACTTCGTGCTGTAAGACGACAGGTTGGTAATGAAAGGCAATGTACTAAGAAAGCGCAACTCTATTAGCCCTTTATATGATATGGAAAAATCTGGAATAAGAAGAATCATCCTATAATTCTTCGTATCTCAAAAGTATCCTCCTCCCTCTGGTCCATTACCTTTCCAAAAAGTCTTGGGCCAAAGCTTTATCACCGTGCCCGCTTCTAGTAGCTAGTAGGTCTTCCCGGATCGGATAAGGCTTCGATAAAGAAGTGAATCAGTCCGAAATGCTATGGATAGATAGTTTGAGCCAATATCGATCCGATCGGGAATGAGAGTACCTGACCTCTTGCCTATTCAGCAGTATTTTTTATACCGCCGCACTCTTTATAGTCGCGACTGTTGTCATGAAAAAAAATAGATTTTCTGTCAAAGAATCATGCTTAACACAGCCTATAGCGTAAAGGCATTCGAACCGCGTCTAAACTAAATTAAATTAAGGGTAAGGCCCGTATTATCTCTTCTGTAGATACGCTATCCTTTCTGGCTATGGTATGGGGGAAAGGAAGTGATATCTACAGATTGATTTGATATTAGATGAGCGATCGTACTATGATCGTTCGGAAGACATGGCCCCGCGCGCTACACACAAGAATGAATTGTTATGCGATCGGTAAACTATTTCTGCAGGCAGCCTATCAAATCAAATCGGATCTGATCGTAGCTTCGAGTTCAGGTGCCGTACCGCGGCCGGACCAGAAAGGAGGGGGACAGCGAACCTCCTGCCAAGAGGCAAAGGTTGCTTGCTAACTCTCAGCCACTTGTTAGAAAGACGTGCAGCTTGATTGTCGAGGAGAAAGAAGGAAAAAAAAAGAAGGCAGCCAGGCTGTTCGATTTCATTTCCTCCTTTGGTAAGGATTGGCTTTAAGTGATAGGGGATGTGATTGGAATTCGTCTTTGTATCATCGAGACACCCGAAGGGCCGGCCATATGTACCTCGGGAGACTCGGCCCATTCAAATCAAAATAGAACGAGCACCTACGACTAAGAAGAATAGAATGTCGACCACAGGGTAAGATGATCTTACGAGGGCGAGTGACTGGTAAAGTCATTAAATTTTATCAACATGGCTGCAAGTGGACTAAGTTTATGTGTTTAAACTGACTACGACCAAAGTCGTGGCTACTTCAATAAAAAAAGGGCGATCCCCTATTCAAACCGAAAAAGTACCTCACATCACTTACGAAGAAGTAGTTGGAGCTGGGAACTAGGAGAGTTTGCTTTTGTTTTCTCTTTCTAAGAGCGGTCTGATCAAATAAAGGATCAGACCCCTCCTCGTGTTCAAACTAGTCATTAATGGTCGGCTTAATTGGTATCCTTTCGGTATGCCTTGCGAACACTTTCTTTTTTAGTCTTTCATCTTCTCTAGAGAAGCGAAACTCGAACGGATAGAGCGGATGGTCCAACTACATAACTTTTTCTTTTTCATTACTTCCATGGTCGTGCCTTGTGGCACGGCAGCACCCGTACTATTGAAATGGTTCGTCAGTAGAGATGTTCCCACAGGTGCCCCTTTTTCCAATGGTACTTTAATTCCTATTCTTATTCCTTCATTCCTTCTTTTGGTTTATCTACATTCCAGGAAATTCATACGCTCTATGGACGGAGTAAAAAGTGGAGTCTTGGTCAGAGCAAGTTGCCCTATTTTATTACCAGACATAATTGGGAGAAGCTCATCCGAAACTAGAGCTAGAAACGCCTTATTTCTTTTCGTTCCCATTCTTCATTTTCTTCTTCTCGAATTCAAGGGGGACTTACCCTATTTAGAATCTTTTTGCGGTGTGCTCCGTTTACTATTCTTTCGTACTTTCTTCTCTTTACCACGCGATAGGTCAGCGAAGCGTGAGCGGGCGCGGAGAAGAAAAGGCCAAACACTTCGGCCTAACGGGAATGAGCAACGACGAAATGAAAAGAAAAAGTGCCCCGGGCGCCCCCATTTAGAAAGAAGGGTCGAAGGGTTTGGGCCTGTAGCTTTCCCCGTCCCCCCTTCGTCGGGTGGTGCTTGCATGGGGGGTGTGCTACCTGAAATCGGGCTTGAAGCCCCCGCCTTACCAACGAGCCGACAGCTGATGGCTGTTGGTCGCGACTACTACCAAAAAGTGAACATGAAGATGAATATTTCACATGGGGGAGTGTGCATCTTTATGTTGGGTGTTCTTCTGTCGTGCGACCCGGCGGCTTATGTGCGACCTGTGGCCCACGCCTCCTATTTGTTCAGGGCGGGCGGCGTGAACTCTGATTCGATCCGGGTATTCAATCCCGCCGCTGAGGTGCTCAGTTGAATCCTTAACCTTGATAGGAAGATGGCTTATTCAATAATTCGTGCATAAGGGTAAGGAACTTTGGATGAACTAATGCGAATGGGTGTAAGCTTCGCTGCTCGAAAACACCCAGTGCTGACCACACTGAGAGACGCGAACGCGCAGGTAACGCCAGTTGGCGAAGTGGCGTTAAGCATCCCTAGCGGTACGAAAAGAGAGGTCGTGATGATATCATCTACGTCCGTACCGCTCCTCGTGGAGTAGATCCCGCATCCAACTAAGTCTTTGACCAGGGAACGGGATAATTCCCACTACCGCTGGCAGGCCAGCCGGGCCGTGAGCGCGGTGGGAACGGGCTTCCCAAAAAGCCAGCCCCGGCCGGGGTCAGCATAGAATGAAGGGGACGGCCCTAATGTTGTGTTGGCTTTGCCAACTTCTTGGGTTGCGGGCGGAAAAAGCGGACGTGGGGACTCGGGTCGGAGCGCAGCGTAACTAAAAGAGCCATTCCATTTAGGACGAGACAGAATGGGCGGGCACGAGCGGTCTAGTGTCCGAGCCGATTGATCAGACGACTACTTAACTTATTAGATTAGTATTAGCTGCCTATCCCGGAATGGAATGGGATAGAAAGAACGCGAAGCGCTAGCGCTATAGGGTAGGTTTTGGGGGGGAGAAGCTTGTGAAGAAGCAAGCTTCTCCCCGCCCCGACCGACAGCTGCTGGGTCTCCTCATCTCTTCTTAACTTCCCCCGGTCTTCGGCCTGAGCTGTATGAGGCAGAAACTCGTCTCACGTACGGTTCGAAGGCCGAGCCCCACCCCAGCAGTAATGGTGCGGCTTAGGTCAACTAACACAAAGAAGATACAGTTCACTCAACGATTGCCTTTGGGTTCCGAACTCCATATGGGGAAGGAACGTTGTTGTTTGCGGGGTCTCGATCATTTACATGGACCCACTTTTCATTCCATTTGTGGGAATTTGATGATCTATAAACCGTCCTTAACGAACGATCGGCTCATCTTTGAGCATGATGAATCACTTCGTGCCGACCTGTTGTCAATAAACTTTTGGGCCTCATATGAGAATGGAAAACTGGAGCATTTTCTGCATCGGTGGATGAAGAATCGCGAACATCCAAATTTCTGGTTAAGCATGTTCCCAGAAAAAAGATACTTTCGAGAAACAACGAGCACGACTGAAGTGGCTATCCATACAAATCCATTTACGGATCTATATGCTTCGATTGGAACTGGAAGTTCAAGAACAGGCGGCTGGTATACTACCATAATGAAACTGCCTTTTCTTTTTTTTATTCGGATAGGATTTCTGTTGGCTTCGTTGGGAGGCTCGCGTAGTTTGTTACGTCAACTCCAAAAGGAGAAATTGCGTTGGAATTGAGAAAGTTACGTAAAGTTCATAATTGTATAAAAGGAGTCAAAGTAGTGACTGCAGCGCATCGAGGCATTTTGCCCGCATCTTCGCTATGTATACTAGTTCAAGTGATTATCCATTTGAATTATGGCTTGGTCTCAGAGATCCTACATAACCGCTGCTAGGAGTTAGCACGAATCAACTGTGGGGACTTGCCTAAACTGGATTGGATCAATATAATATTCAACATATGGCACTGCCTCAAAGGCCTTACCATACCACTTAGCTCAAGCCAGTCTAAGTGATTGGCTGAATACCGAGAATAGAGTCTCCTCTTGGGGTTTCTCCCGGATGGGGTACTACACTGTAGCGTCGGCTGTTGCTTTGGAATGGAGAACTAATCAATCGAGGAATCGGAATCCTACCTCTTGCGAGTTGACCTCCGTCAGTGACTGTTCACTTTAAAGCGGGAGAAGTCGTAATTAGTTGGTGTACAATTTCAATAAAAACAAAAAAAAACTATTGAATGCGAAGGGGGAAATGGGATATCTTTCAATCAAAGCTATTCCTTTAGCTTGGCGTTTAGCTACTAAGCTATGCGGGTCATCAGCAATAGACTGCATTAGTGAAGGAAATATAGCATCAAAGGGCGCTTATCCTGCTAATCGTGGGTCTTGGTAAGTACCTGACAGACTGAAGGCTTGGAACTTAACTCAATGCTGGGTTGACTGCAGGGAAGCTTTACTTAAGTGGATTCGGCCCTACCTTGGCTACGAACCTATTCTCGCTAAGAGCTAAGAACTAGGCATTTCAAAGCAATTACCTTCTTAGCTTACAGAATCTCTTGAAAAAAGAAAGTCTAGCTACATGCTTAACGCCGGAAATTATGACCTTGGTTGGTGATATTCGACCAAGACGAGGCCTATATCTGAGAGCTTGAACTGGGCTTGGATGAAAGAGTAGCAGAGTCAATTCCTGAAGCTGGTAAAAGGCACTTATACTCCATGATATGGCACTGATTGCAGATGGACATTCAATTGGATCTTTCTCTTTCCTTAATTTCTTTATCTTTCGGGGGCCTTCTTCATCTATGCCCTCAATAGCAATAGTCAGGCTTTTACTTGAGTTGTTGGGAAGTGTGGTGGGGTAAGAGCATCTGTCGATTCCTTCCGGGCTATATAGGGAGTGATTTCCGTTCTTGAGTGAATTCAGATGTCACTCTCTTTTCTTTCAATGGTATCCTTCTTTATCCGAGCAGAAGATCGCCTCCTCTCTTCTTTGGCCTACTGGCCTACTTAAATGAAAGGCCTTGTGCGAGCACAGCAGCTTGACTGAGGCTGGCTTAGTAAAAAAGGGAATAGGATAGGACTTGTTCACCGTAAGTGGGAGATTCTTGGGTGAGTGTTAGCGAAAGGCCTTCCAGACAACTCTTTCCGCTTAGGACAACCTTTACCCTTCTTAACCTATTTAACAGCAATCTATAAGTTGAGTAGAAGAAAGAGGGGTTTTGATGGGTAGGCTTGTTGTGCTTTGGCCCTTCTGCGGGCTTTCATCGAGGAAAGAGCAAGACCAAGTCTTCACATTTGTAGGACTTTCTTTGATGGTTCATGTAGGCTGGGGTCTTTCATTCGGGCCCTATTGGGGCACCCTGTGGGCCAATGCGTATAAGCTTGGGCTTTCTTAACGCGGCTCATTTGTTGACGACTCAGTACATGGATGTCACGAGTCTATTGGCATAGAATATGGAATCTTTTCCACGTAAGCTGGTTGTACAAAGTTTGTTTGTTCATACAGGCAGTGTGATTTGGGGAGATTTTCTTTGCTCCGCAAGGTAGCCAGAGCCAGCCAGTTTTTCATTAAACAGGCATGATAGTTTTCAACTGCAGAAAAGTAGTGCGGAGAACTAGTCAGAATTGTGCCTGCCATGCAATTCGTACTGCATGGCGATATTACTCTACCACTCTATAAATGGAGGCTCGATAAGTGTCTTCACTTCATCAAATTCAAATCAAAGAAATTGAGTACTAGCACGTATAGCATCTTTTTTTCACAGTAGCAGGATCGCTATAACTCACTCCATTGAGTTCGTCGCCTATAACTCCACTTAACTCATGAAGACGTTGTGCTCGGGCCTCTCTTGGGGGAGTCCCTTCTCTCCTCCACCCCCTTGAACAGGCTTTCCGCGGTACCAAGCTCACTTCATTAAGTCTTTCTTTAATAAATATAGGAGTGTTTATCGCTACTACCAACTACAGCAACTGAAAAAAGGAGCTAACCGACTAACACTAACAGTTATCCGAAAGACGGTTATGCAAGCCGGACTTAACGACAGATCTGTTTTCTAGTTTCTTTATTTTATCTAAAAACCGCTCTTGCTCGACTGGAAGGTATCCTCAAACCCCCGCTATGTGCGCTTAGAAGCTGAACTCCTTTTTGGCGTTCCTCCTACTTTTCCAGTTGCCAGGGCGGGTAAGGTTCGGTTGCGAGCCAAGAAAGAAGATGTGAATGCCTGCCTGCTTGACTGCCCTTTGTGTATTCATTCGTCCCGAAAACGAAAAAGAATATTGGCATGTGTTAAGCATTTCGTTTAGAGAAAGAGGGGTGCCTTCTAGCCCTTTGCCCGTTGAATGAACCTTTTCGTGGTGAATGAATAGTCGTGCTATCCAGGAATGGAATTGATGGTCGAGCCGGATGATAGTCTATCTTGGTTCAAGGCAGATTTTCGTTTGAATGCCTCTATCTATTTTCGCTCTCCTTGCCATTCGAGTAGCTTCACGCCCTCGATGATCGCTTTTTTAACAGATTTTTGATTTCTTTTTTTTGTCTAATTCTTCCCTAGAGAAAGGGCTCTTGTCGCGATTGACTCACTAGTAAGGATACGCACGATTTTTACTTTGACAGAAGGAGCACCTGGTTCAGCACGAACTAAAGGCAGCCGAGTTCTTCCTTTCCTCATGACCAACTGCCTTAATGCGCAACAGCAACAGCTATAGTTGCTATTCTCTTGCCAAATAATCCTTGCCCCTAACGGCAATCTTTCTCATCAGCGGCTAGAGAAGAACATCCTTGCTTACCAGAGCTTCCTAGCTACCTTAACTATAGGAAGAAAACCCTCGTTAGGACGGCAGCCAGAAGGACAGGCCTTTGACTTTCTTACTTCGGATACCGGATACCCATTTCCCTTAACCTTGGACGAAAGCGCCCCGATTGACATCAATTCATGAATCATGAACTGCCTTGAACGTAGCATTTATAGGCTAGGGCCTTGAACTCAGAGATAACAACCCCTAGGATCTGAGGATACCCGAAAACCTAGACCTCAATAAAGACCTGCTTAGACGCCTCTTACCCAGACCCTTTTTTCTTTTAGTAAGGAACTTGCTTTACGACTTAAGGTCTCTGTCTCTGGCAACGGAGACTTGCGCCTAAGGGGTTTGAGAGAGACTTTTCGCGCTGACCCTACTTCCGATACAACCGGAGAGACTTCCTAGATTGACAAGTCAAAATAGGATAAGCAGAAGGACTACCGCAATCAGAAAAAAGAGAAGGCAAGCAAAGCAGAAGTAGTTCGCAACAGCAACTATCGATTAGTCAACAACCGGGACAACAGAAACTGCTGCTAGATTCTTTAAGAAGCGGGAACCAACAAAGCTGCATTGACCAAGAATCAGAACTGGGGGAAGCACGCCGCCAAGGCTTGACTGACGTGGAACTGCTACAATATGGAACCGCCAAAGGTCAAAGCTAGACTGTCCCCGAAAAACGTGGTAAAACGCTCAACTGTCAATTAATTGGAAATATCCGTCTCCGAATAGAAGTGAATTTGAAGCAAAAATCACTGGTTCGAAGAGCTGAGTTGCAAGACTAAGGAAATTGAAACTTTTTAATATCACCGGAGTTGTGAACGAAGGAGGAAGGAGTCTTTGCAGCAAGACTTCAGTCAAGGAAAAAACCGACGTGTAAGAAGAAAGTGGCGTAGACAAGGAATCGGCTTAACTGCATTAGGGGTCTCATTCCTTTCCATATCTTATATCATATAGTTGAGTGGAGCTCCGAGATTATGAGAGTGGATCGGATCCCTTTCTTCAAGAAGAGGCTTTGGCCTTAACTACTTCTCTTTACGACGTAAAGGAAAGACCTCTCTTCTATACTAGTTCCTATGGTATAAATGTGGGAGTACTTTTTTTTATAGGCTAAAAAAGGCTAAGGAAAAAAAGAAGGAGTGCAGGATGTGTCTCCGGACATAGAAAGTAGGCAATCACTTTCCCTTCGTTAGGGGTCTAGGTTTCAGTTGTAGTTTTCTGGTATCGACACAGACAGTGGTAAATCTCTATACGATTGAAGTCAGTGTGCAAGACATAGTCTAGTTTTTACTTTGAGTTCCTCTTTTAATAAATAACTAAGCATTCCACAGTCGGATATCAATAATCACTTACCCCGCCTTAGGAGAGTGAGGGGTGAAAGGACTCAAATAGAGCTTAGACATTAGGCATGAGAATAGGACTATGCATATTCACTCACATCCGTTGATTGCGGTGCGCCATAGACCAAGCTTTAAAGGATGGTAGATGTGAAGGCTAAGTGCACCTGAGCTAGAAGCATTACACCACCATCACCACTCGTGGTTCACGTCTTTCGAAGAACTATCGCTCTGGCGAATTCCAAGTAAGATACGAATGAATCCCAGGGCACAATGGAATGAGAAGGGTTGGAACTATACTGATTGGCAGTAATGCAAAAGATATAAAAAAAAGAATGGGTAGAATGCGGATTTGGTGGTACTTGAATTGATACTCATCATGCGAATTGGAGAGCATGCCCCTAAGGGTACTCCCTTATTAGAAGTTATTTAAAGATGTCAACATCCATTTTTGATTCAACAGCGGAAAAACATCAAACAATTCATGCTTACTACAGGTTCTATTTGGCTTGTCGAAATACAGATTAATCAACAGACCTCGATTGTCTACCTATCGCCATGCCTTAACCCATCCTAATCGGAGAGTTGAATTTGTAATAGATTCTTCCTTGATTTAAGGCTGGTAAATTCCCAGATCCATAGCAAACATATCATGCTTAACACATCCTAATGTGAAGGTATGACCATCCTAGTGGTTACTAAAATAAAGCTAGATCACAAGGTTCATCTGCAGATATTTTCTAAAGATACAAATATCAAGGAAAATGCGTAGGATGCCCGCTATGGTATTTCCATTCCTGGCGATTAGCCGAGTTGGAAGACCAGAAAAAGCGGAATAGAGGGTTTGGGCATCCATCTTCCTTTCTTTCGAAGAGGCTAATGCCTTGTCGGCGTAGACGGAACGAGGACATTCTGCCCGAGTCCTTCTTGAACAAGAGTTCTACGATAAAATCGAAAAAGGGTTGGATTACCTTAGCAGGAATTCTCTGGTATCCTCCACTGCACGCTTAATGCAGAAAGGGCTGGCTCTCTTTAAAAGGAAGGAGGACTTCAAGTCAGTAATATTCCTCCTCAAAACCCTTTCCCCTTAGCCCCTCCGGAATTCCCTTTTAAGAAGGTGGTCAAGCTACCGTAGATGAACTTAGGGAAGTCAATCTATGGGCGGACCCTAACCCTAGACCAACTTTCTAAGCGCTTCCCTTAAGGGAGACGAAGCACGAAGGTAAAGAGCCCGAATGAGTATAGTGACGTCTTTGCTTGGACATAGTTTGAGATGCCTACAAACTTGCTGGATACGACTCCCTGTAAAATGAGGTCTATTGCCCAGAGAAATTCTTTTTTAAGAAGATTTCTGAGAGGGACTAAAGAAAAGAGGATAGGACTTTTTACAGTCAGTAAAATGCAGTTAGCGAAGCACGCGCTAAGACAGTAAAAGAATAAAAGAGGAACACACCCTTTTCGCTGGCTGATCTAGTTCTATTTAAAAGCTTGGGTGCTTATCTTGGAGCGGGAAGAAAGCGTTCGAACGAGTATACTTACAAAAAGGTTCCGTACTTCTTCCTATCCCTAGAGCTTTTCCGTCGCTTGAATTGAACATTAACCATCTCCTGACTCCTTTTCTTGTCCCCTACAGAGGCTAAGCGGTCGGGTCATGGATCTTGCACTTCACTTGAATAGTGCTTTTTGAAATGGTAAAGAACCAAGCTGACCTACCTCTATCACTAAAGTATACCCTAAGATGTAAAAAATCTTCGGGTACTAAAAAGTATTGAGGTTCCGGCTGAGTTCTTGGCTATTTCCCCCGCCCTACCAGCTTCACCAACAATTACTGTATTTGGCTTCGACCTGTTCTCGATTCAGCTTCCCAGGAAATGCTTCTATTCTTATGCAAGACTGCTTCCTCTGCTCTGATCTTGGCTCAACAAATCCGGCCGTGGAACTTGCTTTCATGAGGTAAGGAGCGGCTACGTCAATGTCCCTGTGGAAGCTAGAACTCTAAGGAAGATTTTTTCTCGGCAGAGAAGAGGGGACAAGCTCTATGCTTAGCCTACCTCGTAATAAGAACCCTCAAAAACAAATAAGGGAAACGGATAACTTTCTTTACGCTAATAGCTAATATAGAGAGGCGCAAAGGACAGATATGCCAATTTTGCAGAAGAAGAAAGTTTCATTGCCTCTATCCATGAATTTGAAATAAGCTAATAAGCTCTTTCTCGATTCGCCGCATTTATATCTCTTACTATCAAAAAGAAGACTAGCTTTCCGGTATCTTCACTAACTCGATTCAAGAGCGACTCCCAGACAGATAAAAAGATTTCATCTTTCTATCCGATATTAATACATTGAATTCGAGATGCAAATTGAATAGGAATGAACCCATAGAGTGGTGAACAAATTCATAGCTGCCGCTTTCTTTCATTTCATAAGGGAATCCAATTTCCCAACCCAAGTAGATTTTATTTAGAACATCTTGCCAGTACGCAAGAAGAACAGAACAGACAAGTACGAGTGTGTGTCGACTTCAGAGACCTAAATGCAGCTTGCCCTAAAGATGACTTCCCATTACCAATAAGCGAACTCATAATTGACGGCAACAGTGCCTTTTGAAGCCATATCATTCATGGACGTTGCTAAGATCCTTCCATTTAGCAGCACCTTAGGATGGCATAGCCTTAAAGTTAAGGGCGAGGTTCAAACGAGGAAAGGCCCACGGTGGATACCTAGGCACCCAGAGACGAGGAAGAGCGTAGGACGAAATGCTTCGGGGAGTTGAAAATAAGCGGAGATCCGTTTCATATTGAATCACAGCCATTTTCCCTCTTTCTTGGGAAGAGAGGATAACACTCCGGGGGAAAAGCCTGAGCCTTTGATGAGCAAGAAGCCAATGTTGTAATTCTTGAGGATGATTCTTTGAAGCAATAGTTCCATAAGAAAGTACATGAGACTCTTTGACTTTCAAGCTCCGAAGAAGGGTGAAACTGACCCCATTTCGTCTCGTTTACCTTCCTTCCTTTTCGACTGGTGGGACGAAGTCGCATTGATTGAATCGGTGAGACTAGTGAGCTATGCACGGAAAAAGCCTAGTGACGTGGTGGGACACATGCTGCTCAAATTGCTCAATAAGTAAAGTAGGCTTTTTACAGCTTCTTCTTTGGTTAATCTATGACATCGTCGGCTTGGCTTGGTCATCTGTCTCTTGATCGTTTGAGTACTTTAGTTCGTGGCGGTGCCCTAGGTAGTGTCCCTGTGTCGGAGTTGTCTCCATGTATGGCCTGTAAACTGGGAAAACTTTTGGCCTTACCTTACTTCCACTTCTTTATGTGTGATAGGCTTCGTCGCAGCCTATGCTGTGATGGAGAGATCGAAAGCATTAGGGTCGTGGCGTGAATGTGCAATTCCCTTTCTTTCGCCGACATCAGGCCTATTATAGCACCAGCTCTTCGTTTTTCTATGCCTCTTTTAGACTAATGATGTTCCCACGGTTCGTCGATTACCTGATTTTCACACTTGCGAGTTTTTTTTGCTAGACTTCTAATCGCATCAGTCAGGAAATGGAGTCGTCTTCAAACTCTTTAGTGCTTGTGAAAAAGCCATCGACCTTCGCACACTTAGTTATCCAACCCTATCACTTTCGGTTACAAAACCACTCGTCCTTTTTCTTTAGAGAGCCTCCACCCTATTCAGAAAGTCTACTTAGCCCAGTGAATCGAATCCCCGAGCTCCCTCTCTAGCCTACATTCTCTACATGATTGAGACATCTTCCACAAAAAAGCTTTCACACTTTCATTGCCTCTGTATTTCACTAATTTGATACCAGATGTTCGAATTTTCCTGTGATCTCTCTCCAACCATTCACAATTTTGCATTCGTCCGCTTGACATCGGGTTTAGGAGATTCCATCTTTCTTGGTTTCCTGGTCTATGCCCCCGGGTTCCATCACTCTTCTTCCTTCAAAGGGTACAATAACCTTCCTTGACCCCTTTGGAAATTCCCAATACTTCTCACCTTCGTCTAACAGCCTATTCTACCTAGCAAAGAAAGCAGGAAAGAAAGGGTAGAACTTGGCCAGCAGGAGCGTATAAAACTGAATCTATATTATAAGTGAAATCCTAGAGATTGAAGACGGAAGCTTGCTCATGCGGCACTCTTATAGGAAGTTCAGGATAAAATCTTATAGGTCAATGAAATCTTCATTCTTATCTTTCTTGTCTAAAGTCAGTGACAACGAAAATTCCCGAGAAAACGCAAAAAGGCCGAATTGGCATTATCTTATTGAAAAAATTCTTTTCAGCTATCGGCAGTGGCATTATCTCTTGTTGTCCATCCGTGGGGAAGGACAACTTGTTGTTCGGCCAACAAGGGGTCTAACCTTGTTACAACTTGCTCTTCCAGGGTCTCCTTAAGACATTCCAAGACTTCCTCCCGGTAGTTTTCCTCACTAATCCCAAATGGATAGGTGCCAGTCATATGCCGAAGCCTAGCAACGCGCCAAACCATGAGAGTTAAAATCTCAGGTGGTACAGCGAAAGCCGGGTTTTGTGCAATCTCATTCATTAGAAATGTTAGTATAAGATTAGCCAATACATTAGGTATCATGAAAAAGATGATTTTCTCGTTGGAAAAATTAGTGGGGTCCATGCTCCCCGGGGGAGACCAAAATGCTCTCGCCTATCTGTGCTTTGGGTATAACAACCTATCTGAGTTCGGAGCGCAGGGAGCCTTTTTTGAACAAGCCCTTGCGCTTATTTAGCCCTTTTTTTAATAAGATCTCCTTTCTTTTTATGTTAGTACAGGCGGGCCTTTCATTCCTTAGGAGTGAGAGGGTAGGGGGGAAAGGGTGGGTGGCCTTCCTTCTACTGCGTACACCATTAAAGAAATGAAGCATAAGACGAAGGCATACACCACGGACAGCGCAACTACTGGACAGTTATTGAATAGCTTCAATCAAAAGGTTGATTGAACAACACACCAAGATCCGCATCCAGGGTTAATCATTGCTTCACATCGCTTCTTCGAGCGTTACCCTCTTGTTAACAATATTTACCTACTCAGTCTTTCTCATGTTCAAAATCTCGGTCGTTCCTTGGCTAAGTCTGAAAGTAGGTCCTACCATGTCCCACGTAAGAGAAGGGTCCTCTCTCTCCTTGTGAGAATTCGTATAGGCTATTCAAGACCTTGTGCTGAAGTGGCTCATGGAGTCTTTTTTTATTTATCTTTAGTAAATCGTCTTCTTCGGTCATAGTAGGGCTATGCCCTGAATGAAGGATAGGACTTTTTTTCTTATCAATACCAAGAGAGACCCACGGAGCGGTAAGAGATTCAGACTGTGAACCTTACGATTTTCTGAGCAGTTGGACAACACTTAAAAGGGCCTAAAGAGAAAGAAAGAATCCCTTGAATAGGCTGTTCGGCTTGAAGACAAGACTCGTAGCGTCGTTGCCTAAACCTTTCGTATTGTATTCTCCAGCGCAAAGTAGTAACAAGGGATTGAGTCATGAGCGGCTAAGAGGCTCCACCTATTTTTGATCAAATCCCGCAGCACCCGTAATAGCAGCAGTTTGGCCTCTATCTGGTGAAGCAGTGCCCGCGTTTATGAGTAGGTGTCCAGTTGTTTTATGAGTTGTTGCTGTCAGGGGAAAAGATGCCCCATAGGTTTGTACCTGAACTATTGGATATTCCGCTCCTAGGGTTTATGAAGAAAGGCTTCTGGGAATAGAATCAAGAGAGAGAAGTGCCTTATAAGAAGGCTTGAAACTGGAGCGAAGCAACTCGACTAAACATAGGTTAGCTTCCTTAGAAGATTCAACTAGCGCTTAGAGTTCGGTGCGAGGATCAACTCCGTACCCTTCCTTCAGATATTTACTGCTTTGCACGAGCTGAGACAGTGTAGATAGATCCGGATAAGGCAAAGACCACATTCCTACTGCTATAACTAAGACTGGAAATTCCCTAAAATAAAAACATACTTTTTGTTGCATCGATCGATTGGCTTAGAAGTTGGAACCTTCTTTTCTCAACTCAAATGCTTCGAGTTTAAGTTAGTGTTCATTGCTTACTAGTAAATAGATATTCTAAGTTTCTCCTAAGTGGGATAGAAGGAAGATAATAGCGGATTTCCCACAAAATGAATTCTACCAAACCATTCTCCTTTGAATTAGACTGCTCGCGACCTATGTCAATCAAAGGAATGAATGGTTGACAGGCGATGGATAAAAAGAAGTGGAAGAAAGATGTGCGATTACCACTTCGATTAAAGAGTAAGGTACTTTCTACTTGAACTTCTAAGGGAATGCTAATTTGCTTAAGGGGGGTTCTTACTTGACTTAGGTGTGAAGATACCTGTACATACAAAGAGACAGGTAGCTTAGCTCCTTCGACGAGTTGGCTAGACTCTTATCGAAATTGCGTAGATAGAGAAAATAAGATCGATTAGAAGGCGCTTCCCATACTTGCTTGCTGAAAATCAAAGAAAGAAGGTCCATTTTCCCACATAGTTCGTCGGTCAAACCAACGATTTCTTCTCAAAGTAATAGAGAGATCTTTTTCTAGTTAGACTTCTATCAATGCAATGAAAGAACCATCCCTTCCTATTTCTTTGTCTTGTCAGATAGAAAGAAAATGAGACCCCAAAGAGCCCCTCTTTACCACTTTAGGGGGTGGGGGTGAAGGGGGGTTTACATACAACTGAGGCAAAGTGCTTTATGATTGAATCTCAAAGGCATTCTTTTCATTTGGTAGATCCAAGTCCATGGCCTATTTCGGGTTCACTCGGAGCTTTGGCAACGACCGTAGGAGGTGTGATGTACATGCACTCATTTCAAGGGGGTGCAACACTTTTAAGTTTGGGCCTTATTTTTATCCTATATACCATGTTTGTATGGTGGCGTGATGTTCTACGCGAATCCACGTTAGAAGGACATCATACCAAAGCCGTACAATTAGGACTTCGATATGGTTTTATTTTGTTCATCGTATCGGAGGTTATGTTCTTTTTTGCTTTTTTTTGGGCTTTTTCTCATTCTTCTTTGGCACCTGCGGTAGAGATCGGAGGTATTTGGCCCCCAAAAGGGATTTGGGTTTTAGATCCCCGGGAAATCCCTTTTCTTAATACCCTTATTCTTCTTTCATCCGGAGCTGCCGTAACTTGGGCTCATCATGCTATACTCGCGGGGAAGCAAAAACGAGCAGTTTACGCTTTAGTAGCTACCGTTTTACTGGCTCTAGTATTCACAGGCTTTCAAGGAATGGAATATTATGAAGCACCCTTCACTATTTCGGATAGTATTTATGGTTCTACCTTTTTCTTAGCAACAGGCTTTCATGGTTTTCATGTGATTATAGGTACTCTTTTCTTGATTATATGTGGTATTCGCCAATATTTTGGTCAGATGACCAAGGAACATCACGTTGGCTTTGAAGCAGCTGCATGGTACTGGCATTTTGTAGACGTGGTTTGGTTATTCTTATTTGTCTCTATCTATTGGTGGGGAGGTATATGAAGGAACGAATCAGTGGATTGAAGAATGAAAGCTCGAAGACAAAGAAAATCGGGCTTTTCCAAAGAATTACTGCAGCTTTCCCACTCCCTTTGATTATAATAAAAAAAAAAAGTCTCTTCCACTTTCCTACCCAATCTCTCTGTATTCTGGCACATAAATGAAGGAATCGAAGAGAGATTGGCAGATCATGTTCACCAAGAAATGACCCGAAATGGGATCTTGGTCTATTTGAGATTGTTTTTTTTAATCGTAATCAAAGATGTTTTCTTGTCTCTCGTTTCTTTTCTGAACAAATAGAAGAACCTAATGGATCGAACTCATACAAAAAACCGTCTATTATAGCTATTCAAGATAGGAATTAACCTATGTCCACTTTAAAGCATATAACGGCCGGTAGGTATATAAAAAAGGGCTCGTCGAACTACTATACTAAGCGCTTACCTATAAAAGAAAAAAGGTATATAGTATATTGAATTTTCCAGATTCTATCTACGGAATGAAGATAGGGCAGAGGGGAGAGAGCTCAGTGAGGAAATAAAGAAAGAAGAGCAGGGCAGCTAATTGAATAAGCGCTAGAGCCGACGGAAGGCACCGGGAATCATACTTTAGCTGAAAAGCGCTTACTTCCTTCAAGCTTCAAGAAAGACTTATGTAGTGTGCGCTAGCTGAAAAGGGAGGGGATGCGCCTCGCGTATAGGCTCGCTGCTTTGAAACCTGTGCCAGCTCGATAACAAATTTCTCATAACGAGCACGCTGTATGTTTTTTGATAATCTTTGAAACAATTCGTTAAAGCTAAATAATAATATAATGATTTTATAACCTCATCATTCATAGTCTCATGGCAATCAATCTTTTTTGAACATCCCTACATTCCTTATTGCCCTAAGGCAAGGCACATCTTTGCTAGCGTATAAAAGAAAGGATGAAGACGCTTTTGGGACATTCCTGCTTTCCGGCTTTATTTACTGTTACACTTTCTTAAACTACCAATTCGGGAGTATCAGTCTGAGAAGTATGTTCTTATCATACGATATTCTAATTAGAGCTTGTAGGAATGAGAAAAGAAGCATGAAATGCCAAGTTTTGTCGCCTCATTGTACTAGAGGCCCTTCTCACCGAAGTCTTTCCCACGATTTTCATTATCTTAGAGTCGACTACTTTTGCTTTTTCTTACCCGGAGTAAGGGCGCCATCAGTTAGCTTCGGATCGCGCTTGACTTTGCTATCAGCCACGGTAGGCTTTTTCGAAAGCACTGTTCTGCTTTGCCAATCAGGTAAGACCGAATGGGGACGGTAAACTGCAAACTTTTCCAGTATTCGTTGCTCGGTTGGCTGGAATCTCGCACAACAACAAAACGGAAACGCCCCTATAGACCTCTCTGACAATAGTTTCGTAGCCATATTCACTGAGAAAAGTGCTGCGAAGCGCAAGAGCGTATCGAGAGAGGATATTTTTCGTGTAATGGTCTATACTATAACCATCTTCTTTCTTTACTGCAAACTAGTGACTGAGTCCAAAGCAGAGAGGTAAAGGACATCTGCTAAGCAAGCACAAAGAGTTCACGTATCGATAGCTAAACCTTAAGAAAAGCATCAAGTTTTCTTTTCTCTTCAAGAGAGAAATACCTTTCCTGTTTGTTGATAGAAGAAGGGTAGCCAAAAAGGCGAAGTCTGGTACTGGATCATCGGTGTTTATATTTATATAAGAGTCAGACTCAATATCAAAAGAACCGAATAAAGTTTCATCCTACAGGGAGTGGGCCTCGGCTTACGAAAGTGGTTGCTATGGTAGCAAGTTCGACAACAGACATCGCTTTTCTGCTTTTTGAATGGGTATCCCTGAAAGGAAGGCCCGAAGAAAAGGGATCCGGAAAGTCCAATCCAATGACGGTGTTGGAAAGCAAGTCAGAATAGGCTCTCGCTTGAGCAGGACAAAGGCTATAGAAGGTGTTCGGAGTTGGCTTAACGAATTGTGATAGAATCCGATTTGAAAGCAGCTTTTCCTTACCCAATGTTGCTCCCCGATGGAAGTGGGCATCTAAGGAAAGGGATGATGGCATTGCCCGGTAAACCTTCTTTAGCCAAAGAGATCCTAAATTTGAATTAGCGAAGCTTAGAGAGTGGAGTTTAAACTGACGTGGGGACCTACTTTAGGCATTTCTTTTTCCCACGTTTTGAACGGGTTCTTGAACAGCCATGTCATTCCTTGGAACGTGAAAGCTTGTTAATCCACTGATTGGTGATGAAAGATAGAACTCATAGGCACCTACTGCCCTGATTTTTGTTGTTCACGGAACTCATATGAGCGGGTAGATCTCTACAACTACTATACATACATGATTTATGTCGCCCTGCCTTTTCTTTTGTGCCGAGACCTTGATTGAGGCTGTTTGATTCGCCAACCTTAGCAAATAAGAGGCAATCCTTCGATTTCGACGAATCTGCACTTGGCCTGAAAGTCCCATCCCTAGGACCTGTAGAACAAGAAAGCTTCGACACAGGAGATTAGGACAGAGAGGTTAGCGGTAGGGGTCTTTCCTCTCCGTTACCTTGTTGGGTGGGGGATCATTTTATAAGATTTCCATTTGCGTTGTGACCTCTTTTCTGCCCTAAGAGCGAGATGAAATGGGATTTTTTGCATCTCGTATAGGGCCAAACCTAGTGAATCTCCGAGTGAAGCTCGTTTTCAATATCTTTCTATCACGCCTATAGGCAAAAACCACTAAAAAGCTCCCATACTAGACCTAAGAGCCCTTTAATTATATGGATAAAAGATTGGCATTACTGCTCGCTTCATCCCTTTTGGTTGAAGCTTTCCCAAGCCATCCGTCAACAATCAATCCCGAGGTTGGTTACCAGCCGACAGAACTGAGCTCTTCCCAGTGATTGGTAATAGTCAAGCAAGGGAAGAAATCAGTAGTTCTATTTCGGTACTCAAGTTCCAGCGCTCCTAGAAAGAGGTAGGTTCTCAAAGGGAAGGCTAGCTCAGAAGAAGGAGAAGTAGCTGCTCTCGAAATCGGTCGGTAGGTCCTTCCTCAAGCTTCGCATAAGCGATTACATACCTCTATTTCAAGAGTTCTAGTACTTGCATTGCGGTCCGTCCATTAGTTCGATGATTCTTATCAAAGCTGTCGGCTATTTAATCCCGTCTGTCTGTAGTAAGCAATTCCTTTCCGGGCTGTGATTGAGAAAATATCCCCCGGTCTCCCCGATCGGTTTCGGTTCGGTGGTTGGTTTTTGGTTGAATGAATATCTGTACTTCCTATTAGCCTCGGCCTTACCTGATTGCTATAAAAGTTTGAAAGGTAGGTTTTTGAAGTGATGAAATGGAAAGGAAGAACTGCTTTATGGAGGAAATGCTTGAATGAAGCTTGTGGTGTGTCCTTCGGTCCGTTCAAGTGGTGAGTGAAGTGCTTCCTCGCGAAAGAAGCCTTTCAGAGATAGGGTTCTTCTCTTTACAGAAGCACGAGTGGAACGCTTTCATGGCTTTATGGCTGTCTTCCTCTTTTTCTTTCACTGTGACTACTGGCATCTTTGAGCAACTTGGACCTGTCTTTCTTGTCCACCTATCTCTCTGGCCAAGAATAAGAGTCCGTGTCTCTGGAAAAGGGTTTACTGACCACTCTGCTGAGGGCGTGTAGGTATAATAGGCGGAAGGAGATAAAAATAGAAGAAAGTTGAGTCCCATCTGCTGCGTCTATATAAATAGATTCCGTAGGAATCTCTAGAAGCAAGCCCAGGTTCAGACAGCAAGCCAGGGTTCGGTTCCATATTCATGGGGATCCATCCACTTACTTTGGTCGATTAGATCCCTGTATACAAGCCGTACCCGGCTGACTTACTTTCCTCTGCTCTTACTCCCGCACCCGTTCCTGTACACATACACATGTCAGCGTAGGTAGCTGTGTCACGCTAAGTAACTGAAAGATTCTCCCTCAATTTCATTACCTCCCCTACCCTATGGTGTCCCTTTTGCAAAGAGGTTTGTTTTCGGGGCTTCATTGATTAGTACTTGGGATCTTAGTTCTACATGATGCCGGAATTGGATCTACTATTAAGGATTGTTAAAGGACAACCAATGAAGTCTGCAAAGATGATGAAAGAAGCTTTCGTGAGTGGTTATGCCGGATCTCTCAGCCCGTTCATAGAGGAATCCTTTTCCGAATCTTTCACCATTGTGACCCCCCTGGAGAAGGAGGATTCCCACTTCCATAGTTACAGGCATAGTATGAGGTACTGCCCGGTTCTCTTCTACCCTATCCACACCGCCCATCTATGCTGATCGAGAGCCCGACCCATGGTGTGCTAGTTCCAGGAGCTATAAAAAAAAAAAAATGGGAAAGAGTACAACCTTCATTGATAAAGGTAGGTCCGCCTAGAGAGGATAGCTTATCTAGGAAAGGAATTCAAAGGCAAATAGTTTCCTAGGAAGGAGATGGTGGTTGGTCGACTAAAGGTTAGAGTTAGAGGACTAAGTCGAAGCGCAGCACATAAGCGCATATTCATTCTCGGTTCCTCTGTTTGTTGCGAGAGAGCTAATCGAACGGGAGGGTACTCAACCTTATGTTGTGAGGAAGGGCGAGTGACGAAGAAAGAAGTGCCATGAGCAAGGCAAAATGATAAGTATGATTGAAAGTTGGTTGCCGTTTTACCTTAACCGCTTATAACCAGAGCAAGCAATCAATCTTATATTTATGGCGGGAAGTCAGGCAAGGCGCTTTGAAACCCTCCTTATCGCTCTTGAATCGGTTGCACCTCATTCCCATCCTCCCTACGTCTTCATCTTCAAGACGAGCTTCTTCCTGTTTTTAGGTTGACGAGTGAAGACTCCCAGAGATCTTCCTTTCAATGAGGCATTCTCAACTCCTTTATTTCATTTCTCATACCGGCACTTTTATAAAGTCCTAAAAAAGCGTGGAATGAATATGGTAGAGTGCAAGCGGCAGACACATAGGCAGGTGCCCGCAGATTGGATTTCATTGGCAGGGGCAACTTACCTTATTAGATAGGGGGGAAAGCGAGAGCTTCAAGAACAAGGACGATTGGAAGGAGCGACATATCGATATACATATATAACCAACCTCACAGATCCAACTCAATCTTTTACACCGATGTATCGTACTCTCGCGACCAGGTT